GGAATAAATAATAAAAGTGATAAAAAGTACAAGGTGAGAAAAATTGAGTTGTTCAGAAAGATGCCAAATTAAAAGTGAAAATCTCAACGTTAACCACTGTAATCACTTTCTAATCATCTCTTAGGGGCAGAAGGTATGTTTGTGTATGTGTACACGCTGCACACAGATACATACGTGTGTGGTGTATCTATCTGTGTGTGTGTCGGTTTTAATTTCACGAAGGCGATGACGATCATATAGTCACAGTGTCCTGTCCTTAGTTCTTGTTGCCGTCATTTTTAACCTAATGATAGACCTTGGCAACTTTTCCACGTAATGTATTCTTTTTCCTCATTCTTTTTATGGTTTTTTAGTAGCGGCAGACAGTCCCATTGTGTGGGCTTAACCGTAATTTAAAACTAATGCTCTCTGGGTGGACACTTCGGTTGTTTCCAGTTTTTTTAATATTATTTTTTAAATGCTCCAGTGAACATGCTTGTACACATATCTTGATGGGCATTTGAAAGCCTCTCCCTAGGATAGGTGCTGAGCAGTAGCACAGCCGAGTTAGAAAGCACGTTCTTTAAATTTTTCAGACATCTTGCCCAATTATCACTCAGAAAAGTGCACTCTCGCTGCAAAATGTGGGAGACACTTTCCTCCTCCAAGCCCGTCTCGGCTCTGGCTGTCATCAAACGCTAGAAATTTCCACTCCTGCTAGGTGGGGAGAAAACCTCATTGCTTTGATCTGTATTTCTTTAATTACGAGTTTGAATATCTTTTCAAATGTTTGTTCGCCATTTATATTTCTTTTTCTACAAAGTGCTTCTCTATCCATTGCCCATTCTTTTATTGGCACCTGATTTGTATAAATTCTTAGCAAATTGAAGAAATTTACCCTCTGTTATATTTGCTGCGTATTGCAGTTATTGGTCTTTCTACTTTGTGATTTATTTTCATAGAAAAGGTTTTCATCTTCGGTAATTAAATATATTTTTTTTTCCTTTTTGGATACTAGACTTCTTTTTTTTAAGAAACTCATTATTTCAAGGGTATAAATAAATTGAGCTGAGATTTCTCCTAGAATTATTTATTGTTTTTCACATGTAAATATGTGATAATTGAGAATGTATTTTGGGGTAAAAAATGAGGTCGATATCCAGCTATTTTTTTTTTCCAATCAGCCAATTGTGTGAATATCACTTAGTGAATAATCCCTTTTTTCTCACTAATTTAAAACGCCAGCTTTCTCATAATCTAAATTCCCATATATATTTAGGTCTATACCTGGATATTTTATTATGTTTTATTAACCTATTTATTTTCCATTACTGAATGGTTTTAATTATCATAGCTTCATCATATGTTTTAATATTGGGTAATAATAGCCACCTTCTCTCCGATTATTTTTTCCAAAATTTTCCTAACTCTCCTCTCATGTTTATTTCTTCAGATAACGTCAGTATCGTTTTAGGCTAATGTTAACCAACACATGTCAGAAAGAATGACCAGCACGTCTGGGAGTGCCGTTCATTTCTTTCCTGTGTCCTAAGAGAGAGATACACCTTAGGAATCAGTAGGTAGAGGAGATGACAAT